CTTATACATATTCATTATGGTATGTTCTAACACATGATTGCGTAATGTTTCTACCCCATGGGATAGAATGGGCAGCATTTAGTGAACAAATGAGAGTTTTGTAGTTAGTGAAACTTTTGAATGTTGGACTCCTGCCACATTTGTTGCAGAAGTTGAAAGCTGTATAATGTTTCTCTTCTTGTAGTTCAAACAAGGGTCTTGTTAATTTAGACAGGTGAATGCTAAACATGCTGAAGAACGTTTTTTAGCTTGTTGCTGCCATGGGGTTTCTGAGATGCTGGGCAAGCCATTTAAAATTTCTTAAAAGGTAATCAATAATGTTTTTTCTCATTTCCTGGATGCCTGACTTGACTTGACACTGGGGTCTGATTTGCAGAACTTTTGGCCACTCATAACTACCCTTGAAGTGAATGAATGCTATACTTTGAACAAGCACTGCTGTAAAATGCTCTCTGAAAAATCATAGATTTCTCAAATTGAGCAACTTAAAATTAATAAACACTTTAATTATTTTATCTCTGTTATAATTTCCTTGTTTGTAATGCTAAACTGCCTTGAGCCTTTTCTGAGGAGGACAGCATAGAAATCTAATAAATAAAAAATGTTTCTGTTCCTCAGTTATTAATCAATAAACTGGGAGTAATATTAATTGTAGGGGTGTTGTGGAGTTACAGATGGTTCAGAAAATAAACCCCAAGAAACTCTTCCATGCTAGAGATTGACCACCATAAAAAGCCCTTAAGTGATGATTTTTGTATGCAGAATCAGGCATTGAATGATGTGCTGAAATAAGGCCTGAGGCCGTTCACTGAACAGCAAAAATAAAATGAAATATAGAACAGCTGCACACTCAGTGAGAATTATATGTCCTGTCCACTAAATGAGGCAGAGGTCCTTTGGGAGGAAAATAGTGTGCTATCGTGTCACTAGTCTATCATAATGCATATGCACAAAGTTGCCAAATTGAGGTTGCATAGGAAACTTTCATTCTGGCATTGCCTACCTTTTGAGTGCTTGCTTTACAATTTTAATGTTCCTCAAATGTAGCTTTTCTGGGTGATTATTAGATGCACTCTTTATACTTACCACTTCCTAGGGAATGACAGAAAAGCTGTCTCTGGCTTCATTAGAGCAGCAGCCGTTTAATAGCTCTCAGCAACAAGACACTGTTAGGAGAGTAAACTAAGAGAAATGCAAGAGAAATATATGTAGGCAGAATGTTGTTATTCATACTGAAGCTTTCCCAGGATACAGGCTGGAAGTTTCAAATGAACCTCAGAGCTGGATGCCTAAATCCTTTAGTTTATTTTAAATGTTCTAGCTACTGCAGTCAGGACCCTTCCCCAATAGATTCAACCCTGTTCATTACTGATATAGCATCTGTGCGTTATAGTGGAGAGATCCGAGCAGTGGCACTGATCCCTTATGTGCACCAATTACCCTGTCTCCCTGCAGAGGTACTCTGGCTGGCTCCCCACTAGCACTATGGAGTCCCTATCCATAAAACCAGGGAAACACATTTTAAACTTCAGAAAGTCAGCTGAGAGGAGACAGTAAATCCTGGCTTGATGTATGAAAGAACACACCACACTGATTTTGGAACTATCCCCTTTTTCTCTACAGGAAGTGGAAGAGTTCAGCTTTATTACCCAGTTAGCAGGTTTGACAGACCATCTGCCTGTTGCCATGCGTCTGATGGTATCTACGGGGGAAGATGATCCTTAAAACTGACCAGCTTAGAAGATCAGAAGCAGAAAGTTTCAACTTGTGACATATAGAAGAAGAAAGGAAAGAATTTTGCTGGTGCCACATTAAGAAAAATTACTGGACCTGACCCATGCTATCCCCAACTCCATCTCCTTTCAAGTTCCTCCCCAAAATGTACTAACATTTGGGGACATAAAGAGGGAAGAAATTATGTGGGTTTGGACCAGTAACAAACCACTATCACAAGTTGCTCAGGCAACAGGGCAGGCCTTTATCTCAATACTTTCACTGTGGACCGAAAGGAACCAAGATGGAAGTCCCAATTCCTTTTGAACCAGTGCCATTCTTACTAAAATATGTTTTTATACTAATATATAGCACAATTTAGTTTGTAATCGGTCTGTGAGTTAGTGCTGCCCAATGGTTTTTGCATAATTTCTTTGTATAATTAAGAAACTAAAACTTTTTTCTTTTCTTTTCTCTTTTTTAGCCTGTTAATGTTGTAGTAGCATGCCTGCATCAGTAGCATGCGCCCACATTGCATGCCACTTTGACACAAAATAGTCATTAAGATACCATGGGGGAAAATAAAAATAGAAATGGGAATTCAAAGTCAGAAACTAGCCAAAGAAAAGTATTCTGGGACTGGCTAGCCATTTTTCAATTAGCTTGATGGGTTTTAAAACTAAAATCTATGTTCAGTTTGCAGATAAAGATTTTTCTTTCAGAGCCCTCAGTTTAAGGATGAGACTGAAAATTGAGAAATTAAATGTTCAAAATTCATTTCTACTGTTATTTATCTACCTTTTATTTTCCTTTCCCACATCTAAAGCCGTTCTATTTCCAGTACAAGGAAACAGAGCATGTTATGATAGTGTAAATAGATTCATGTAGTACTGCTGGTAACACTGGAGCCAATGTTCTGCCTTTGCTGGAAAGAGTTAAGAAATGGCTTGTAAAATGCATGCTAGATATTGGGTTAAACATGAACAGAGAAAGCGATGTTTTCAGGAAACGAAGCCAAGTAAGAGAGATAAAGACAGTGTAAGATTGATTTTCAAAGGAACTAATATATTTTGAGAGAACCAGAAAATGGTAGCTGGCGGCAGAATAAAGAGAATGGAACTGTGAATCCCAATATAAAAGACCTCTCTTCTGAACTGAAGGTAATTTTTCACGTGTTAGAGGTGATCCCACATTGTTTATACACTCATGGACTTCATAGGAGTCTTGACCATTTGATTTTTTTTCCCACCATGTAGATGCATCTTAGCATTGATTCTCTTTACCTTTCTGCCCCCAAGACCTTCTCACCTACCCTATCCCTTCTTACCTCTCTGACCCTAAATTATTAAATGAAAAATTAGGGGTGAGATTAATAACTGGGGGCTTCTCACCCCCCTTGTTTATTTAAGGATTTAAAATGAGACAAGAGCAAGGGCACACATGGCAGCAGAGGGGGACACTGCTCTGAAGAAAAGTGCATTGTTCCATCAAAACTGGTGGGAGATACTGCTGGGCCCACAACATCAGCTATATATCCTTTACTTATTAATCCAACTTAATACTTACGTTTTCCTTCAGTCTAATCCTACTTTATGTTATAAAGTATTTTCTCCAGTCCTTTCCTATTTCTTTTTTTAAAGAAAATGGAAGACTAGGTAAATTTAAACTTT